TGGATATATTTACTGGGAAAAAAAATAGTTCAATAATTAATAAAAAAAAATATTTCCGAATTATGTGATGTTTGAAAAAGTTTCAAATAAGATGTATATTAATCAAATTGGTAACAAATGTGGGGATAGCTCAGTTGGGAGAGCGTCAGACTGAAGATCTGAAGGTCGCGTGTTCGATCCACGCTCACCGCATTTTCCATTTAGTTCGTTTATGGTCTTTTGGTTTGGATTTCAACATTATGTGCCTGGCAGAACTTGACATGGAAGAATATTTATTTAAAGGGGAAAATGTTCGAGATGCAGTTGTGTGTTAGAACATCATACCATGAAAAATAACAAAATTCATTCATATTGCTATGTATGTAGACATTATTATTATCTAGATACATAGCAAAATGAATGAATTAGAAAAGTCAAAACGACATATAATTTAAAAAGGAGGGAGTATAACATAGTGTAACGTACAAATATGCACTTTTGTTAAAATATGTATGATTAATAGACCCACTTACCTCTCTCTCTCTCTCTCTCAACAACTTTGTGTTAATAGAAAATAAGCACTCAGAGAGAACAAACAATACAACTCATACAATTAACACTCGTTCATTCATTCAACTACAGTTAATGTCATAACAAGTTAAAGAGTAAAAAATCTGGTCAGTTACATATAAAAAAAAAAAAAAAAAAAAAGACTTTCTGGTCCTGCTGCTACAGTTAAATGTAATAATAAATACAAGAAGAAGAACCTAGACAGAACAAAGGTACAAACAAACAAAGACATTTCTTTCCAATCTCAGCTCTTCGTTGAATACAAACAAGAGACTGTTGTATTGTCACAGTCCAAGTAATGAACATTGCTTTCTTGCATGCTCGGGGATCAGCTTGCCCAGCAACTCGACCGGCACTCCTTTTAGCTCTGATCAGACAAAAGATATTCATTCAATACAACGCTATTTAGTATTTACACTACACTAGACAAGCAAAGCACAAAAGAAGCATCTTCTTATGAGGAATAAAATAATGCTCACCATGTGGTTTGAAATTGAATAGAGGTGGAATAAATCGCCCATTTGGTAGCCGAACATTCGGGTCACGCAACTCGTCAAAGAAAGGGTGGATCATTGCCTCCAGCTGCATCCCAATAATATTAAGCATCTCAATCATTAACCATGAAAAAAAAATGCTGATTTTTTTTTTTTCTTTGTACACTCACCGCAGTGCAACGCAGATTTGGAGAGTACTGAAGTAGCCTTGAAACGAGATCAACAGCTTCTGCTGGCGTGCGCTTGTGGAATATCTGGAAATCATATAAAAATTGCATCTCAAATTCACAATCGAGGGGGATATATTATAACAGAGAAGATCATCATGTGTACGGCAGGACGAGTAGTTACTGTTGGAATATACCTTATGCCATGGATGAGCTTTTATTTGGGGAAACTTGAACTCAGTGTAATTAGGGTTCATACATTTGATCTCCTCTCTTGTTGGTGTGCCAAGAACCTGCATGCAAAAAAGTATGTGTAGAGTAACCATCTTTTCGCATAAACAGTACAGTACACAAAAGGCTGAAAGAATATATCAATTGGCTTGGGCTGGACTGTTTCGTAATTACCTTAATTATCTCGACAAGCTGGTCAACTCCACTCTCACCTGGAAATAGGGGCTGAAAAATTTCCACGCAAAATTTATTTTAGCAAACACAATTAAGAAGATTGGTTTACTTTTAAGACTAAAGAAGAAAAAGACAGCAGAAATTACCAACCTGTCCAAGCAATAGTTCAGCAAGAACACACCCAACCGACCAGATATCAATGGCCGTAGTGTACTCTGTAGCACCAAATATCAGTTCAGGAGCACGATAGTACCTTGAACATATATACGAAATGTTTGGTTCTCCTTTCACCTGCAAAATTGAGACCAATAAGAAGAAAGTTGTAGAAATGGCAAGCAAAATTCACGATCACAAGGAGAAGAATGAAAAAACCAACCAACACTTTAGCGCTCCCAAAATCACATAGTTTGACCTGGTGAGTATGTGGATTAACCTGTAGACAACAAGGCAATCAATCAGTGGAATCCTTAATTACCTTTGCCACCATAAACACAAAGAATGGGATTATAACATAATACACTTACCAATAGGTTTTGTGGTTTGATGTCCCTGTGGCATACGCCAATACTACCATGGATATATGCTAGAGCTCGAAAAATCTGCCACAGAAGAAAAAACTAGGCTAGTAAGAGAACAAATTAACTAAATCAAATAAAAGTTAATGAGATGATTTCAGTGAAAACTAGGTTCTACCTGATAAGCATAAAGTTTCACATATATTATTGGCATCCTCTGGTTCATTTTGTTATAATGTCTAATCACCCGATGAACAGTCTCCGGAACATACTCCAACACCAAGTTAAGGAAAAGCTCGTCCTTTTCAGTCGTCGAGAAGAAACAGTGTTTTAAAGACACAACATTTGGGTGGTCTAGTAAGCGCATGGTTTGCAGCTCACGGTTTTTGTACCTCTTATCCTGAAGAACCTTTTTGATAGCAACAGTTTCACCGGTTTCTAGACATTTTGCCTGCACCAAATCATTAAAGGCTAGTTAGTTAACAATGCAAAAACCATGAATCCACATAATATATTCCTTTTTATTTCATTGTACAAACCAATAATTAAAGCAAAAAAAAAAGAAAAAAGACTACCTGAAACACTACACCAAAGGAACCCTGCCCCACAACACGCTCGGCCATGTAGCTGATTGTCTGATAAGAAGGAATAAAACATATTAACAAACTTGATAAAAAGTTTTGAGAAGTTCAAAATAGTGCAATATATACTTAAATTCACCTGTTTTGGCTGGCCATTTTTTCCACCAATTGTTGTCACAATTATATGACCAGTTTCTGTTCCATTACCATCCACAACAGCTGGTTCCATATCCTATGAGGTATGATGAGATTTAATCAAGTCGCTATAGCAATGAACAGTACTAGTGCTAGATAACTCTGTTGAAATGGAAAGATGAAGAAACGCTTATACCTTCTCATCCTTGAGCTTCATCTCATTCATCTCATCTGGAAGCCTATCCAAACCAACATTTTTCCGACTAGGATCTCTTAGACCTGATGGAGGAGCTACATGTACAGAGGTCATTCTTTTCTTATTGTCAAGATTCAAGTGTGTTTCAGCTTCACAACAGCCCCGATAATCTTTCTGCATAACTTAAAAGAGAAGTTGAGAAATCCAGTCCATGAAAGCACAAACTACAGTAATAAATCAGTTAAGATGCGTTATCAGAACAACTAATCTTAGTTCTTGTTTAGAAAACATCAAAATTAAATTAACACCAATGTACTTCTGTACATTCTTTGGTGCGGGCAGTCCCAGAAAGAACTCAAAGTTTTTTTTTTTTTTTTTCCTTACATCAAAGCGGTTGAAGTAGTGATTTGCAAACATAATCAATTCAAAATACCACCGAGGATATTTTGAGCGACTAAATTGAGCTATAAGATTTTTCCAGCCTCACAAAACCCCAGGAGAAACCCCATAACAAGGTTCTCTCAATTAGCTACTAAAGACATGGAGAAACTAAACTAAAAGCAGAAATTAGAAATGGACAGAAACTAACACAATAGTAAACAGCAAGATCTGGGAATTAACCCAAAGGATCAGCTACTTCACACAAGGTTCTCTAAAGGTGCTACTGAAAGATTCTAAACAAAAACTAATCGAAAACAGAAAAAATATAAAGGAAGTCAAACTATAAAACAGTACTGAATTTGAACAGCCAGATTTGGGACTCAACAGAAAGGATCATCTAGCTCAAATAGACTATATGAAAAGCCCATCAAGAAAGAACTTTCCGAAAGTAAATCTAACCAAGTAAATATCATCCCAGATGCAAAAATAAAGAAAAAGAACAAGCACCATATCTAAAACAAATCCAGCTAAGTTGAGAGCCCACAAATCAAAATTGACCTCCCAGACAGACAAACACATCACAAAAAAAGATCCAAGCTTTGAGCTTTGCAATCGTACCCGATAAATCAATCAACAATCTCCTCCGGCGAGCAAATTTACTGCTTTTTCTCTCTCTCTATTCTTCTTCCTCTTGTGTTGCTTTGATTGGGTAGTGGTGGAAAAGGGTAGGTATTTGATGAGAGCTGGTCAACAGAACAAAGACTCCGCCTCCAAAAGCATAGAAATAATTGCAGACTATATTTAAATAGTACTTAGTAACATGAATTGAAATTGCTTCCTTTTACTACGCTACAGGCTGGCTGGTACTGCTACTTTTCTTTCTTTTACTTTTGACCGTTCAAAACCCTTTTGCTTTTTTCAAAATTTTCTTGTCTGTCCTACTAATTTTATGCCTTGTCCCGATTTGGATCCA